AATCTAAAATCTATAAGATAAAATTCAAAAAAAAAAATAAAATAAAATTTTGATAAATTCTGAAAACTAAAAATATATAAATTTTGAAAAAATAAAATCTGAAGTTCAACAATAAAAATTCAAAAAAAATAAAAATAAAAAATGAAAATAGTTCAAAACTTTTAATAGTTATTTATATAAAAATTCAAATAATATACATATTCAAATGAACACTAATTGTGGAACGTATATGCTAAGGCACACTAAAGTTGCAATCGAGCAGGGGAAGGTTTTCAGAGGGAGATATAGATAGAGCATTGCTCAATCTATTTTCTGTTCAACTCCGACTTGGTCTTTTTGATGGAGCTCCTGCGAGAAATCGATCCCCGAACTTTGGACCTCGAGACGTATGTTCTTCAGAGCACAAGAAGTTGGCTCTTGAAGCGAGGTATTGTGCTTCTAAAGAATGACAAGAAATTCCTGTCATTACATAAACACAATATCTCTTCACTAGCCATCGTGTCTCCGTGCGGGCACAGAGACACGTTCTCATGCGGAGACACGACCACACGGAGACACGAGAACGTGTCTCCATGCGGACACATTCTCGTGTCTCCACACAGACATGAGAATGTGTCTCCTTGCCGTGCCCGCACGAAGACACGAGAACGTGTCTCCGTGCGGAGACACGACTACACGAAGACACATTCTCTTATCTCCGTGCGTGGAAGACACGACTGCATGGAGACACATTCTCATGTCTCCGTGCGGAGACACGACCTGTTAAATTGGCACAGCTGAAGGGGAGAAAAATTCGTTATCTTACAATGAGAGTACATTTTTGTTGAACTGTAAGACAATGATGTATCTGATGCGGAAACCTCCAAAGGTGATAAAAGCCAAATTTAACTCATTTTCTCTTGCCAAGTTGCTGTCGCATCATTTTCCTTGAACAATCATAGACGTTTGATTTTGTCTTGAATTCTTTGTTCACAAATCATAGAATGTAATATGTCTTACAAAATTGGCCTGATAGTAAATTTTCCCCAAAACTTTCAATGACAATGGTTAGGGAGATTGAATCCTTTTGTTTTTTTTCCCTAGGCATAGCTGATCTAAATTCTAAACATATTATCTATGTTGAGAGTGCTTGTCCAAACAATTATCCCCAGAAATATTCTTCCTCTAACATACTAATGTTTTTTTGCTGTTTTCTGTTTCCCCCTTCTTGTCTTCTCTATATATTCCCAATAACTTTTATGTATGTTAGGCTTTAAAACTTTGTTTTAAGCGACATACTGCTTTCCTTACAATGTAACTACATAATTGTTTGCAGGACTTTGGAGAGCTTGTTGTTGAGCACTTCGGAAGACATTGCTACTATATTCTAAAGGCATATGATGCTTATATGAAGGGACACCTCATCGGCTCACTCACAGAGAATGCTTCTATTAGCAGTAATAACAATAGCAACTCAAATTCAGTTGGTTTCAAGCTGATGCTGTATAAAATTGTGCCTAAATCAGGACGTCCGAGCCAAAACCCTTTGATGAACTTTGAATGTCAAGGAGACGTTCTCGTGTCTCCGTTTAGTTTATTCATTGGCAGATTCTGTTGACCTACTTGGAGTGGGACTCTGATGTTGTCTGTGTG